AAAAGTTGCAGAAAGGGAAAGACAAAAGTAATTGTGGTAATACAACTGTACCCCACATTGGGTGAGTTTTGCTTAAGAGTATTCTGCAGGCTCATGGCTCTATATGGGAGAGTGGAGGGGCTGTCCCTGGCTAGTGACCTCTTATGTAGTTTTAAATTTTAACCTACTGCTGCCTTTCATACTAAAAAAAAAAATCCTTACTAGTATTATCTGTAGTGATCAGCTGCAGCTCTAGATGTTCCCAGGGGGAAGGACAGTGAGAAGATGAGCAAATAAAGAGACAAAGCTGGGGTCATGTGGAGCCCTTTCTCCTGATGGGAGGGAAGGAACTGCTCAACCCTGTAGTACTTTTATACCCTCAGAAGAAGGCTGTTAATTTCAACCCCACTGCCTAGCAATCTGTTTGCTTGGCTGGCCTGGCCCCCTTTCTTTCTTGGTGCTGGAACAGCTTTTGGGGGTCTCTCTGTTTTCTGGACTGGGCTTTCTTTATCCCCACACATATGATCAATCTCCAGCGTCAATGGCTCCTTGATCATCATAATGTACTATCTTTTATTGAAGCTTTTTCTATTTTTTTTGAGGGGTGGCTTTGGACTGAACATGGATAGTGCTAAGTTACATCCCAAGCCCTTCTTTATTTATTTTTCAACAGTTCCTGCTGAGTTGCCCAGGCTGGGATCAAGTTTGAACCATCTAGGCTCAATCTCCTGAGTAGCTGGGCTTACAGCCAAGGGCCTCCATGGATGACTGAAGGGCAAATCTAACTTGATGTGCGAGTTCAGACTGGGACTTTCCCATTTGGTAGTTTCCTTGACAAGTTATGCTATAATAATTTTCCTGGTTGATAAAACATGTTGGGCTGTCTTTTCTCTTTTTGTACTTGTGAGACTTGTCTGTGGAAGTTTGTGATTTGATGTACTTCTCAAATGTGAAAGAAATTACTAGCAAAGATTGTTGACCTAGAGTTTGCACGGGCAATTTTTTAATTACAGGGTCAACATACTCAACACACATGAGATTTTCTGATTTTGTTTATCTCCACTTAGTAAATTGCATCTGTGGGATTTTGACAATTTCATCTATACTTTGTTACATGTTGGCATAAAATTATTCATAATGTCCTGCTGTTATGTGATAAAACACATGTGGAATCTGTTCAGATGTCTGCTATTTTCTAATGTTGTAATGTGTATTAACTGTATTTAAGCCATCATTATTAGGTAATAATATTTTTATCTTATGTGATTTACAGTTATTTCACATATCTTTTCTAAATTTTTGATGTTTTGCTTTAGTTCAAAGATTGTTTCAGAGTGTTTGCCACAATATTCATCTTAATTTTGTCATTTTCTGTCTGTGAAAGGTCATGCTGTCATTAGCATTATGATTTATTTCACAATCCTCTCCCAAGATTTCATTTCTAATTCACTCAGCAATTATTGAAGTATCACTGGTTTATTTCCAACACACACAGATGTGAGCTCTCTCTGACCACAGAGTCAGGTGAGCCTGAGAATGTTCCAGAATCTCTGGAGGTCTCTGTGAGGTTTCCCTGGATGAGGTGTCACTTAGTCTCCTTCAGGACAGCTCTAGGCCTGCTGGATGCCAGGGCTGTGTACACAGTGGGTTCCTCTGGGTGGGCCATGACCTGGGAGGTAGGAAGCACAACTGAACCCTGGCTGAGCATCTGAGCATAGGTCACATCCTGAGGACCCTCACAGGTGGCAGCCTGCAGGGAAAAGTGGAGAGGGCGGGTTTTTGCTTGGCTCTGGGGAAGCCTGAGCCCTGGGGAGGGTGTGAGACTGACCTAAGGATCCATGAGCCTGTCCTTGCCTGCCTGTCCATTCTTTGTGTCCAGAAGCTCTCCAGATAGGGCCAAAGAAGGGGAGGCCCCTCTTCCTCTGGGTGCCGAGTGCTACACCTCAGCATGCATCACTCTCTGGGGACCCTCATCAGCTGCACTCTGCAACACAGGCATAGAAACAAGAGACGGAGTTTCCTTGGTTCCACATTGGTCTCTTCCAACCAGGTTTCCCTATAGTGTCCAGCGGTAGTTTTTAGAAATTAAACCATACTCTGTTTCTTCAGCATTGGACATTCATTGCCTTCCTAAGGCTTGGAAGGTCTGGCAGCTTGCTACCTGCAGTGCTGCCTTTGCATACTGACAATCCAACCTCAATGTCTGGGCTGTAGCCACAATACTCATTGTTCTGAAGGAACCTGTCTCTGTCTCAGGACCTTTGTATTTGCCATGTATTGTGCCTCGAGTGCTGGCACATTGGAGGTGCATGTGTCTCCCAGCATGAAGTCTTCTGCTCAGCAGTCATCTTACCAAGCTATTACCTTGATTATCCCTGGCCCTCCTGTCCTCTACCCCATTCTCTGCTTTATTTTCTTTCATAGCTCTGTGCTTGGCCTCCACCTCGAGTTGGCTCGGGATGGGAGGGGGCTGTGCTCACCACTGTATCTGCAACCCCATGGTGGCAGGTCATGAAGGAGCCCTTTGTGAATGGATTAAGTGGCAGCTCACTCACTAGCAGTCCTTCTGAGACCCAGGAGCAGGGAACAGCCACATAGAGGCTGAGGGACAGGACAGGGTCAGAGGGAAGGGATGCCAAGGTCATAGGAATAATCCCAGAACATGGTCATAACAGAGCTTCAAGAAGGGAGTGCTCAGTTGTGAGGCACCTGAGAGCTGAGTGGCCAGAGCAGAGTCCCTGGGCTTAACTGGGAAACAGGAAGTCCCTGTGCCCTGGATAGGATGGGGTCTCACCTTAGCATCAAGCTCCATTCTGTGCTTAGGCTCTATATTGTTTACTGTGACATCTGCATGGACAGAAGAGTGGTCACCTCTTGGCCAGTGTCCTGGGTACTCTTACTGTCTCAACCCCTGCCCTGTCCAGCTGGGGACACAGGGCCAAGCAGCTACATGATGTCCCTTGACCCAGTGTCAGAGTTTAGACTGACTTAATTCTGAGCCCTAGCTTCCCCTGCCCCTGTGATGCTGAGACCTCAGAGCATCTCCCATCCTCCACCCATCTTCCTCTCACAGAGATTTTCTTCCTGGGCTGCAGTCGCTTGGCAAGAACTGGGGATCCCTTGGGGAGTCAGCATTCTGTGAGGGCAGGAGACAGGGGATTCATGGTCCTCAGACAGGAATGACCTCCTTTGCAGGCCTCTGTCCCTGGGCGCTGGCCCCATGGCCCCTGTAGGACATGGGAAGTCACTTCTCTCTGGGCCAGTAGCTGGACAGAGTCTCAGCTAGGAGTTCAGAACCACACATTCTGCAGGCCACGGAGTGCTGGAAGGAAGCCTTGGACCCCATGGACTAGGAAGCTAATGAGGCCTGAGGAGAAGTGCAGACCACCCCGGAGACTCCTACAGGGACATGCGCCTGTGTTTTGTGCTGGTTTCTTTGCAGTGAGGTTCTGCATGGGAGACTCTGCACAGACTTCTTCCCTAGGACTGGTTTCCCAGGATACCACAGCACCCACAGCTTCCTGAGGCCCAGATCTCACATACCCTGCTCACCTGCCTTCCTACTCCTTCCCTTGCACAAGTATCCAAAGAAGAGGAGGAAGAGGAGAAGGACAGAGGAGGCCACGGAGACCCTGATCACAACCTTCAGGTTCCCTTGTATTCCTGGGCTTGGGGTGCTGCCTTGAAAGTGGAAAATTGTCACTTTGCTGAGCATCTAGTGTGCGCCAGCCCACACCGGGCCTTTGCATCTGCCCTCACACTCTCACAGTGCTGCACATGGGATCATCAACCCCTTCATGCAGGTTACCTAGGAGGAAATGGCGGCTGAGAGAGGGGAACTGCCAGCCCAGAGAAACCAGCAGGAGGCCCAGATGGGGATGAACACATGGAGCTGGACATTTGCCCTGCTGTCTCCACTAGAGCTGAGCCTCTTGACCTGGGGGGAAGAAGCCTGGAAACTCTGCCCTGGCCCTGTGCCTTTCCCTGGACATTGTCACTGTCATTGTATGGAGGGACAGGACCATGACATTGTGGGGTCCTGGAGGCTCCCGTTGGAGGCTGCCTCTCCAGGGATCACAGCAAGGTCAGCAGAAAGAGCAAATTGAAGTTCATGGCCAAACCTCTCCTTTATACCTGGAGAAACTGAGGCCACTCAAGAGGGGCTGGTCTGAGTCAGCATCTCCAGAGGAGGCTGCAGCAGCCCCACAACTCAGCCCCCACCCTCTGTCTGTCTCTGCTTTCTCTCATTCTGCCTCTCTTCACGTCTCCTGTGTCTCTATCTCCTCCGTGATACCCCAGCCTCATCCTAGCCTCTTGGGCTCATTCAGCAGAGCCTGTGCAGAGTCTGGGTCCCTGACTGAGTCCTGGGCTCCTCACCTCTGATGAGAATGTCCAGGGCATTAATAGGAACCAAGGACTTGAAGGAGAGGCAGTGTCCACCATATAATGTATAGAAGCCCCCATGGAAACCACTCCCAGGCCCAGGGGGACGTCAGCCTGAATGTGCCCAGGCTGGGGCTGCCGGCCAGGGCACTGTGTGAGAACATCTGCCCCTTTGTTAGACAGAGTGAATCTGAAATAGCCGGGGTCAGAGCAAAACCTGAGGGTCAGGTTGTTTCCAGGGTGCAGCACAGGGCCCTGCTGGGTCAGAAGTGAGGGCTTCCTGGACAGCACTAGAGGGAGGAGGAGCCGGGCTGCTGGGCTGCTTCCTACCACAGCCCTGCCCTCCTGTGCTGCCCTGTGAGTCATATTTAGGTTTCTAACTCTGTGGATGTCCTGACCAAAACTCTCTTCTAGGAATCCTCTGTAGTATGGCCCCTGTCAATTATTTAGGAATGAAACATGCTTGGGTCTCTGCAGGGACTTGCTCACTTGATACCAGAAGCTCCAGGGCATCACTGGGCTCTGACAACATGTTTGGTTCCATACTGTAACAGTCATAACAATGGAATGTCCACCTCTGCCTGGGGGTCAAAGGGCCCACAAGGAACAGGGCCTAGGCCTGGCCATTGGGGCCTCACTGTGATTCCAGAGTCCAGGAGAGCTTGTATCCTTCCTTAGTCAGAACAAACTGGTCAGATACCAGCTGTGCCCAACACTGGAGCATCACATTCCCTCCTGAGGTCACCACAGGGCTGGGCGGGGCTGAGAGGCTGGATTTGCTGCAGACTCCTAGGAGAGAAGGAGGCAGCGTGTGAAATGGACCCACACCTCCCACACTGTGCCCAGAGCTGGGCAGTGAGATGGGGACACTCCTGAGAGCAGACCCCTTCCTGAGGGCAGAGGCTGAGGCTGAGATCCTCAGTGTCCTCTCATCTGTCACCAGCAGCTCCAGGGCATCACCGTGCTCTGACCAGCCGGGGGAGGGGGGAGGGTTGGTAGTATCAGCGATGTAGCCCTGTATGGCACTCTTTCACAAATAGGATGGATAACTTGGCCACATCCTTGAGTTGCATTGATGTGTGTCTTCTCCAGAACGATTGGCTTCCCTCTTTGTACAGAACATATTCCTGGGCCCCTGGAGTCTCCTCACACCAGAGAGTCACTGCTTCCCCTCATGGTATCACAGATCCTGGCTCAACTCAGAGCCTGGGTTTGGGCAGGGTACCTGCAGGGAAATCACACCTGGATCCCAGCACCTTCCTCCTCCCCTCACATCCCAGCTCTCATCCCCAGGACCCTCTAGGCCTCCCAGCACCAACTCACAGATGCTGTGCTCCATTACCACTGCCCAACAGTGGCCACTTGTCCCCAGGAGGAGGAAGGACCTATGACAGCTCGAAACACACTCACTTGCCTGTTCTGGGTTCCTGGGACCCAGACTCAGCCCTGGAAGAATGCTACCTGTGAGAGGTTTGCTCTGGAGCCTGAGCAGGTCTTCTGTTCCCCAGAGTCTGCTGAGCCCTGGACCTCCTCAGGGACCAGGGCCTTACTGTTGGTTCCACACTAGGGTTCCCATCCCCATGTTCCATTCTCACCAATGCTGAGCAGGGCCATGAGGGTCATGGTGGTCATGGTGTCTTCTACCTCCAGGCGAGGCTGTGTGGATAGAGGGGACCACAGTTTGCTTTCACGTCTGGGCATTAGTTTCTGCCCTTTATAAGCCGGGCACATCATGAGTCCCACAGGAAGTGGAAATGGCATCCACCAACACTCGCCTTCTTTTTCCCAGGTCTCACCCAGGCTGTTCTCCAGACTGATGCAGAGTTTCCCATCTTCCCAAGTGTTCCTCAGTGATCGTCACCTCACTGAGGGCAAGGACACAGAAGGTGATAATACCCAGAGCCTTCACTGCTGAGCCACTCCAGGTCACCCTGGGCTGGTCCATCCTTTCAGAGCGTCCCACGGGTCTCCTCCCTCCCTCAGGGCTTCCACCTGCACAGCAAATCATCCTTACACACACTACCCTCCCCGAGCCCTGGAGATGCTCTGGGGAAGATGCAGGTTCCTGTTGCAGGTGTGGAGTTCTGTGCAGAGCAGTGAGGCACTGAGCCCTGACAGGAGGAACCTCCATGCAGATCAGGGGCAGGAAGGAGAGACGCCCACATCAGCAGCCTGAAGGGCATTAGGGAGACTTGGGTGATTAGGAAAGAGTGAGGTGTAGATTCTCCAGAGAGAAGGAAGTCAGTTGTATTAATGTGATTGAAAATCAATTCTGGCAGGTATGAACTTGCTTCTTTTCAATTTTTGGAGTTCCTTGGAATTCCTTGATAAATTGTTTATTTGAAATCTTTCCTATTTTTAACAAATCTGAAAGATACAGTTTTCTGATTTAAATGTTTTTTATTCCTTCTTTTGGTTTACTGTATGCAGTTCTATTTTATTTTAACTTATTTGTAAGGGTTAAACTCAGGCCGCTGGGAAAGTGCTCCAGCACTGAGCTGCACCCCAGTCCCTTTTAAGTTTTATATTGGTGCAGCATTTCTCTAAGATGCCCAGGACGACCCTGCCTCCTCTTCTCTAACAGATCTTTTTAGATTTTTCCTTTGTGGTTGCTGTGAGACTCACAGCAGACCTGCTGCACTGTAACTAGTCCATTCCACTCTCAGAAGTCTGCTTCAGGAGAGTCTGTCTTTTATCCCTGGTCATACACTGTGTTATTGCTTAGTTACCTACTTTAAGTCACTTATCTACTATAACATTTTATAGCTATGGTTTTTTAAAGTTTATTTTGTTGTTTAATTTTTTTGAGACATAGTCTTGCTATGTAATTTAGGCTGGAATTGAACTTACTCATGTAGCCAAGAGTCACTGGAGGTCATGCTGATCCTCAGGCCTCAGCACCCAATACCAATATTTATCTATATCTGTAATGTCTGCAGTTATATCCTCTACACCTGCATCCATTACTCCAGGAAACACACCTGACCTGCAGTGCTGTCCCATTTCTTTGCCCCAGCATTTCTGAGGGGACTTTCCCATGTCTGTCAGCCCATCAGCACCCACTGCTGCACTGGGCATAGCCCCCATCCGGCCTTCATCTTGTATCACATGGCCCCGTGCTCCCTTCCCCTCTGAGTTCATGGGGAGGTGGTTTCCCTGACCTGAGAACAGGAGGTAGGATTTTCCAGGTAAGTCAGTCAGACATCATGAGTCCTCAGACAGAGGTGCTATGAGCTCAGTCATACCATACTTAACATGGGCATCAGACCCTGTGAGGAAGATTTGCTGCCCACCTCATACTTGTTTTCATTGTTCTTTTTTGTGGTGGGACAAAATAATGCATACCCACAAGTTAAGGAAACAAAAGGTTATTTTATTTCTGGTGCAGAGCTCAGTTCACAGTCAGCTGATTCAAAGGCAAGGTTGTGTGGGAGAAGAGAAGCAGTCCATGGTGTGGTGGCCTGGAAACATTGAGTGGGGTCAGGGGTTTGGGGAGGACATAAGCTTCCAGCCCATGCTCATGGTGGCCACCTCTTTCCACCAGGCTTAACCTTCCAATAAGTCACCTGGCTGTAAACCCTTCAGTGGATGACTACAGGGTCACACAGCCATTATCCAGTACGTGATCCAGGCTCCTCCCCAAAGCCACATTTATTATGCCTGAGCTTTTGGGATTATCACTCGGACCTGAGGCTGAGGTATGTGCAAACCCTCTTCCAGCCCATCAGGCTTCTGTACACCAACTTGCAAACTGTGCAGGACAAGTGACAGAGCTCACCTGTTCCAGTCAGTCTGGCTTATTACTGAACCCAGCACTGAGTGACACCCAGGGACAATGACTGCCAGGATCAGTGCTGGTGGTGAACAGAGCACAGTGCTCCTAGAGTGGACACAGAGGATCACCCAGTGTGGTGATGGCTTATGTGTGTGAGGGAAAGGTTAATATCAGCTTCTTCACTGGATAGTGCTCCTCATCCACCCAATTTAAACCTCACCTTCCCTTAGATCTAACGATGCTGCAGTAAAAGCAGGGTGTGGTTCTTACTGAAGGAGCCACCAGCCCATCTCCACCAGGCATGAGGAGTGGTGCTTTGCTGGCACCTGCACTAGGTCCTAAGGGTGATCTTCATGCTGAGTCAAGGACTCTAGCATTTTTTAAGGTCTGGTGCAAAACGACTCTAGGTGATCAGTGTAAAATGGAACTGAGTGGACACACATGTCTCCTGCTGGAAAGCCTCACAGTGCAAATGCAGCCCTGGTTCAGGAACATCTTACACCAGGATCTGTGAGGCCTCAACACACCCAGGATCACCTCTACTTCCTGCAAATATGGTGACAGTGGGTGGGCTGAGGAGCAGATAGAGCCCACACTGTGACTACTGGAGCTGGGCACGGAGATCTCACAAACCCAGGGTGGCACCTGGAAGCACAGAAAAGATCTCTCAGGGAAAGACCATGGAGGGAAAGCTGTCCATGTGGTGGAGGGGTGGGTGTGGCAGCAGCCAACACTGCTCTGCCCTTGAACTGAAGCCTTCAGCCCTGTGACCTTCCTCCCATGTCCAGGCAGCACAGTTCCTTCTCTCTTTCCTAATTCTTGAGACAAATATACGAGTTTTTCCTTAGGAATCAGGAAGCTTCTTCTAGGTCTTTATAAAGTTCCTTCCAATTAAATGGATGATATGGTATTATTTGAAACTGTGAACACCTGTTAAAATACAATAGAACTTTTTTATTCAGCTGCTCAGGTGAGCACGTTTGGCCTTTTCCTGTCAGTACAGTAAAATAACTGATGATATAAATTACCCGTGCAGCTGTGGCCTTTGGGCCAACCCCGCCTTGCTCACATTTTTAGACTCCAGATTGTGTTGTTTGGTACTGTTTAACTCAGGGGTCCTGTGCTCTCATTTTCCTCTAATAAACAGTGAGGGACAGTTACTTGTGGTGACATCATCTTCCCCTACTGCCTAAGCTGAGACATGTTCCTTCTGCATTTATTATTTCTGCATTATTTGTTTTCCTTTTCAATGGTTTCATAAACTTTATTAGATTTTACTGACAAGTTTGTATTTATATTGTGTGAATTCAAGTTACTACTAGTTGCTTTGATTACTATTTACTTCTTTGTCAAAATTAAGGGGTCAAAATTAAGGGTTAATTATTATGCAAACATAAATCATTGTTTTGTGTTTTTCTATTTCAGTGTATTTAGGTGTTTCATTTACTCCAAACTATAGATACATCATGAGCTTGATTTGTTTTTAATTTTATAAAAAAACAATCACCTTGTGATGTCCTTGGCTGTCTTAGTTACTGTCAAAATTAATTTGTTATATACTCAGATGTGTTAGTGTAGCTACCTGAGACCATAGGGTGAGGTGATGTCCAGCACACTACAGGGTCCCACACCACAACCCCAGGATGCCCAGTCTTAAGTGTCCATGGGGCAGCTCCTGTCCCTCCTAAGGCCCCCATGTGCCATTCCTTGAACTGTGGGGTCTGAGATTTCGCCTGACCTGGAGGAAGACCAGATGGGTGTACACACTAGGCCCAGCTATGGGCCCCAGTTCCTGGGAGAAAGGATCTGTGGTTGGCTCCTGTCTAGGACTAGGTCAATCTTGGAAGAACCTTGAGTCAGCTGTCTGGAGGAGGAAAGAGTGGGGATGAGAATGAGGGTGCAGGCTGGAAAAGTCTGGGAAGCTGCCTGTGATGGAACTCAGCTGCCTGTCCTCTGCTGAGGATCTGTCTCTTAATCCAGGAAATATCTTGACTTGGGGAACAAGGGGGGACCCCTTACATCTCCATCTGGAGGCCTGCTCCTGTGTGTAGGTCACTACCTGGGAGTCCTGGTGCTCTGGGCTCTGCAGGGAGACAGTGACAAATGCTGTTCCTTGACTCTGCTCTGTACCATCAGTCACACAGAGAGTGTGCCAAGCAGTGAGGTTCCCTCTGAGCCTCTCAGGGTGGGGTCACAGTGCTTGGTGCATGAAGGGACTCTGCTCAGTGGGACAGTGGCTAGTGTTGGCTGGAGCTCCCAGCTCTGAGATCTCAAGTGTACTTGGGGTGAGTGTGGTGACTGCTCTCCTGACAGGAGGCTCAGGGTCCTCACACCAGGAAGTGCAGGGACACAATGGGCCCATGGTCCCTGTGTTCAAGTCTAAAGCTTCATAGAGCTGCCAGAGGGCCCTGGCAGAAATGACCTGTGACCAGAGCAGTGTGACCAGAGCACAGGGAAGCAGGAGAACCTGCAGTGAGAGTAACATCACCTGGTGGATGGATCAGGAATGATCCACATGAGTGGATCCACATGACCTAAGGGCAGCACTGGGATTGGCTGTGGAATTGGTCTAGGAGTGGAATCTGGAAATGTGGAGAGGAGAGACAGGAGACAGCCTAGAGTGCTGGGGGGTGGGGAGTTTACCTAGGGTTCTGGTGAGAGCTTAGAGCATCAGAACCCGGACAGAAATGGTGACAGTGAATGTGATGCTCAGGAGGCTTCAGATGGAAACAGGGACTATGTGAGGAAGTGGATCAAAGGCTGATTTTTTCATTAGCTTGAGAATCTGTTGATTTTTTGCCAAACTAAAATTTAAACAGCTCATATCTGCCAATAATTAAAAGCACTCCAGAAATCCTAAGGAAAATCTAGCATAGCATGAGAAGAATGTCAGGAAATTTAAGGAAAAGAACCTATAGAGAACACTGAAGCAGATTGTGAAGAGAATTTCCCTCCACAAATAGATGTGACCATTGTATTTTGGGGTCAGGTTAATGTTACTGATAGTGAGAAAGATAACAGTTGTGAAACTTCTACCAGTGGAAAAATCAGTTAACACATTTTACCCACATACAATGACTGACAGCTACACCTGAGTATACTTGAAATGTTGAGGAAAAAAATGCAAAAATGTTTTTTAAGATGTAATCTGCAATCAATTCTTGATCGCCCATGAAAAAACATAATGCACAACATGTACCTCTGAAAGGCTGGTTGTGTTGTGCTGCAAAGCTGAGAGTGTTTGTTGCTGGTACAGCTTTCTCTTCCCTCCAGATAAGCTGCACCAGGCCCAGCCCCATGCAATGGCAGGCAGAGAAAGGGTGTGGACATCTGTCTGCCCCTCCTCACCCAGTCCTCTGTAGTGAAGGGTGTGTATAGTGTGGGTGACCATCCTGCTGACAGCAAGCAGTCTCACAGTGTGTGGACTCCTTTCTGCCCACTGAGTAGCGAGCCACCCTCAGACACAGACATCAGATAGCAGAGGAAGCTTCATCACCCTACTGCCTCAGGGAGAGGAGAGTGACTGGGTCACATTAGAGGGTCTGGGATTTGAACCCTCTTCCTCTGTCAGTGGCAGACATCAGCACAGTTCCCCAGCTCATGTCCCTGAACCCCCTGTGGACAGGATTCCTGGAGAACACCTGGTTCAGAGAGGTGAATGGGAATCACCTGGACCTAAGAGCACAGGTGTTCCAGCCATGAGAGGCCAGGGAGATCAGGTACTGAGCAGTGAATTGTGCACTGAGGGCCACAGACACCTTGGCATTCATTAGTTGGAATGGTTTTATCCTGATTTGTTTGATTTTATTATCTGTGATAGTATGAACGGCTATTTTGAAGAAAACAAGACATTATAATGGCCAGTTATGATTTAATATCATCTTACTCTGAAGTCCTACCATGCTTTTGTTCTTCTGTTTTCACTGGTTCTAACACATTGTATCTTATTGGATTTTATTATGTGAGATAGTATGAGCAAATTTTCTATGAAAAATGAGATAATATAGTAGCTATTGTTCATTCTGTTATTTGGCTCTGAAAGCCTGTAATACTTTCATTCTCTTGAATGGTTTTATAGTGTTTTGTTATGTTTGATACCATCATATATGAAGTTATGCTCAACTATTTCAAAGAAAGAGACATTATGGTAGTCACTGTTAATTATGGGTTGTCTTCTGGTGAAATACTGTGTTGCTTAAATTGTCTAAATCTCTTTAAAATAAAAAATAAAATTAAAGTAAAAATATTTTAAAAGAGGTTTTAAAAAAAGCTAGAAACAAACAGGATATGATTGTCTCAGCTCGACGTCACACTCTGCAAAGTTCATTGCCTGCTGCCCACACAGGAAGCTGACCAGCTCCTTCTCACCACAGCACAGTGGGGGTCAGGTGCATGGAAACTTTCAGATGAGGCCCAGGGCTCAACAGTTCTAACCAAGACCGCACTGAACCCAGGGACAGACAATCCCATTGCGTGCACACTGCACATCCCATACTCTGCACCTGGAACCACAGGGAGACATTGCTGTGTACTCACTGCCCTGAGAGACCCAGATAAGATTCTGCTTCTCTAGGCAGCAGCCCCTGCCACATGAGCACAGTGATGAATGTACAAATGTTAATGATTTGTCAAATAAATATGCTTTATTCATTACATGCATCTTCTCAAAGTTTGCAGTTCAGTAGAGGATTACAGTATTGATCTGTCTTCCATTTCCATTTTATCCTGGGTCAGTATTTTTGATTTTGTACATTTCCAGCCCTATTTTCTTACTCTGTCAAAGATTTCAGCCTTTGTTACCCTGTGTTTTTCAGGACTTAATATGTTAGGATTTCCTAAAAATCTTTGAAACTATTTCTGTCCACTTTACTTGTGGTGTCAGTAAAGTGAATAAAATATCTTTAATGAACATCTAATATTTTTGTGAATTTGGTTTCTTTCTCATGGTTTCACCTTTTACAGAAAATAATGGTGTGTGTAATTTCTCAGAGGTTTTAATACATTTTTATTGTCTGTTGTTTTACAAACAATTCCTATTCTTATAGAAAGTTATTTACTATAGTCATTAAACATCATCTTCATTTTTTTTCTGCTACCAATGATCAAAGTCACAGCCTCAAATTGCCAGACAGGTGCTCTGCTGAAGTCGTATATCATTGGACAAAGTTTTCATTTTTGACAGTAGTAGAGAAGTTTAAATTCTGTTTGATCATCCTGATTTTTCACTTTTTTCAAAGGAAAGCTACTCTGAAGATGACAGCATGAGACAGGTAACATGCTTAGCAGTGAAATTCTCCTGTCTTCCGCCAGAGGGAGACACACACAGTGCATCTCTTCAGATCTTCTTTGTGTCCAGTGGAGAATTTCTTCATCAACCTCCTTATCTTGAAAGAACATTCTTTGTTCAAAAGAAGAAAGAAAACCTCCTCATCCATAGCTGTGTGAGGTGTGGTCCGCATGGTGTGAACAGATCTCCATGACTCATTCCTCCTGCAACTATATTAGGACCCGTGACCTACATCTCTCTACTTCCCCAACACAGCTCTGCTTTACAGCAGTCACCAAAATGGTGCTGCACACTTGAGATCTGCAAAGAGCCTGAGAGTCAGTGTTTTCAAAGAAGGGGGAAAAAACATAAAACGGGAATTAACTGTTGAAAAAGAAAGAGAAACTGGGAAGAGAGAGGAGAAAATAAGGGAAAAGCTAATACATACACATACGCAAGATAGTTAAGATAGTTATACTACTAATTTCTTTTAGTTCACTGAAAAGCATGATTTGAGCTAATATGGCTTGGACAATTAAATGCTTATATCTTGTACTGTAAGTGACTAATTTAAAGATAATAACATTCAAATTATTAACCATCTTTACTCCTCTTTTACCTCATTTTGATATTTTGTTATTTTCTCTTTACACTGAATTTTTTTTAAAAAAAGCAATAAATAGACACAGCAGAAAAAGAAAAGACACAAATGCTATCTACAGGTGTGTTACTCTAACGTGTGTCAATCAGCTAGATGGCAGTTTTTACATTGTAGTTGTATGAATGACAACTTCTGTACCTCAGTTACACTAAAGTCTCGTCAGTAATATGGTAATAAGGTTCACAATGAAGCTGGACAATATGTCACTTCAATTATAAAATCTCAAGGTGAATTGCTCTTTAACTTCCTTCATTTAATATTCTTAATGTGTAAATATTGTACTTAATGTTTACATCAAATGAGGGATGGGCATCTCTTGCAGTGAGAGAGTGCTTTACCCTTATGGTGTATTCAAGGATTTCATTAAGGGACCATGTTAGGGAAGTTTAAATTGTGCTTAAAGACAGCCTGATGTACACATATGTATAATTGTTTCTTTTTATTTGACAAATAAAAGCCATGACAGGTGTCACTTTGTGGTTAGAGCTATCCTGTCCTTTGACACCCACACCTCCTCCCCAGGCAGTGCAGTCCTGGACCCTAACACATCAGCTGTGCCTGATTCATCCTCCTTTCTCCCTTCTGGGCACTGGTGCTATTGGCACCCAGCCACGATCTCCTTGTGTCTAGTGATGGCTCAGGTGACTGCTTTGCACCCCTTGCCATGTTTTGGGAGAAGGACCTCTCATGTTGTGTGTCTTAGTTGCTTTTTACTCATTGCTGGGACAAAATACCTGAAGCCCAAAATTGGGAAGAAAAGGTTTATTTCTTACAGTTTTTGGAGGTTTCAGTCCATACTCAGTTGGCTCCAAGGCAGGCTGGCATGGCTGGGCCGCAGTTCATGGCAGCTGCAAACAGCAAGGAGGAAACAGGCAAAAGAGAGCAAGACACACCTTCTTCCTGCCATTACATCACATCTGGCTCCACCCTTATGTGAGTGTAGCACTGACACCATCAATCCAAGCACCATACAATGGACCAATCACAAATGCATAATGCAAATGCATGAGGCCTGGGGGCCACTGACATAAACAATGACATTGTGCAAAGCACATCTAAATGTTCCCATCAGCTGAGGTGATTGACAAGTAGAAAATATCTTCAGAACATTTTCTCCCACCAGGATCCAAATAGCCCAACATGGTCATGAGTTCCTCTGTCAACTTATTTTATTGAAATTGAAGTCTACTGACACTGCTTCTACAGTTTGTGCACTGTGTTGTTTTCAAAGATGTTAGTGTACCAAAAAAAAAGCCTAGAAGATGGTAGATTAAACTCAGGAGCATAACACAGCCTCTCCAGGACCAGAAAGCCAGTTGCCTAGAGTACAATGTCTTACAGAAGTGAACAGAAAACACAGCCATGGGAATCAAGGAAAAGCAATCAAAGAAAACTGGCAATCACAGAGAAACTGGACCAACTAAACACAGTGCAGAGAAAAAAAGAAGGCAGCCTGGAATGCTAACTCCAACTTCTGAGAAGGAATCCTGTCTTTGCAATCACAAGGTAAATCTGGCCAGGTTTGAAGATCTCAGGAAGAAATAACAGACAAAACTGGCAATGCTACCCCAAGAAAATTCTTTGGCTATTACGAACTGTTAATACAATGTTGGAATTTACTCTGAAAATAACTTCTTCCATGTGGTTTGTTAGAGTTGGAATAGAGATCCATTGTAGCCTCTATCATATATAAAAGTTACTAATCATGATGTATTTGGGGAACAGGTTAATTGCTTAGGACTAAACAGTTCCAGAAATGAAAAGCTATGATGTAACTACATTCAGGGTTTCTGGGTCACCCTCCCATACCTGCTGGGTGGGAAATACCCAGAAGTGTCAATCACAGATATAGACTCCCTGAGAAGTCAAAGCAAAGCTGAGCTCTGTTCAGGTATGACTTAGTGGTGTGTGCCTTTCATGATAAGATGTGCTGTTTGCATGCAATTTTCTAAGTGATTCACCTGTCAAAGTGCTGGCATTAAGCCCAGCAGAGTCCCTGATCCCACCCCTTGCAACCTAAGAAGGCACAGAACTTGGAGACCTGTTTGTGTTTCCCATATGCCAATATGGTCAAGGACATGCTTCATCTTGGACAGTGGCCACATACTTGGGTGTATGGACAGAGAGAACTCTGGGGCAAGGGGGTTCACAGGACTACAGAGCATGAAGCTGGGTGAAGATAGCAGTGACTTGGGGCACAAAGGGTCACAAACACTAAGAGCTGCTAGGATGAATACAGTCATTAAACAAGACACCACATCATTGATTGACACTTCCCAGTAGGAAGTGTGGGGCAGGACTCAGCACACACACAGGAGAAGAGGGTAGAAAAGAATAAGCTCGTACTGTGACTCACTGCTCCTTCAGTATCTGTGTATTCCATCCTGTTGTACTCTAAGAAAATAGCTTCATTATTTTGTGTATTATAGCAAACCTGCAATGTGGCTTACTAAATGTGTTCTTTTATCCTTTTTCCCTAACTGGGAAAGGATGCAAATCTGTGCTTTGGGGCAAAAGGGAGTCCCAGAACCGGATGAATCTCCATCCACTGATCAGCAACGAATTGAGTACTTGTTCCCCTCCTCCCGACCCAAGTGGGACCCCAACACGGATGCAGGTAAGAAAGCTCTTGATGAATATCGCCTGAGGCTCTTAGATGCACTTCGTGTGGCTGCTAAGAAGCCCACCAACCTGTCCCAAGTGAGTGAGGTGCAGCAGTTAGCCGATGAGTCTCCAGCTATGTTCTTGGAGTGCCTCTTAGAGACCTATAGATTATATACTCCAATCAATCCAATGGCACCCGAAAACACACGGGCAATTAATATTGCTTTCGTGTCCCAGTTGGCCTCTGACATTAGGAGAAAGTTACAAAAGCTTGAGGGATTGGAGAGGATGCCCCTCAGCCAGTTGGTTGAGATCATGCAAAAGGTTTTTAACAATAGGGAAACCTTGCAAGAAGCAACAAATAAAAGGTTGACTAAAGTACTGGAATTACTTTGTGAAAAAGAAGCCAAGAGATCAGCTAGCCCTAGGAAAAAGGAAGCTTGAGGTTAGCCACCTCCTCTAGACAAAGATCAATGTGCATACTGTAAGGAGATGGGACATTGGCATAAAGATTGCCTAAAGTTAAAGCCTAGGCCAGAACAAGAGTCTAAGGCCCTGTTGTCTCAGAAATGAGGATGTCAGGACTCGCCGCCACCCCCCCGAGCCCCGGATAACTCTCCAATTGTGGGGGCAACCGGTGGACTTCCTAGTCGATACAGGAGCCACCTATTCTGTGCTGACTCAACCACTAGGAAAACTAAGCAAGCACTCTGTCAATGTGATAGGAGCCACAGGGGGCTGGAAATTGTACCCAAAGGTGACAACTAGTCTGGCTCAACCTGGACATAGACTGGTCCAACATGATTTTCTTTGGGTCCCTGAGTGCCTGGACCCCCTTTTAGGGCGAGACCTCCTCCATAAACTACAGGTGCAAATTGACTTTGTTACAAATGAACCAAGACTGAAGCTAGGGACACACCCTTGAAATTGGAAGGTATTAGAGTGCTAGCTCTTGTCCCAGAAGGGGAAAGTTACTGCCTGCTGGGAAATTTGTCCAGTGCACCTGAGTCATCACAAACTGACTTAGAGTTAAAACTGTTGAGCAAATGGAAACAGGAGATTCCAGAAGTCTGGGCAGAAAACAACCCTCCAGGGCTAGCAGTCACCCAAGTCCCCCTTGTGGTGGAGCTCTTGCCTCAGGCACACCCCATCTGCTTACGGCAATACCCAATAAGCCTGCAAGCCCGGAAAGGGATTAAAGTCCACATACAGAGACTAAGAGACAATGGTATTCTCATTCCTTGTGTCTCTCCCTGAGACACGCCCTTGTTTCCAGTCCAGAAGCCAGGGACAAATGACTATCACCCTGTACAGGATCTCCGAGATCATAGATGAGATCCTCCAAGATTCATAGATGAGTTCTGACCCTACACCTGACAGTGCCAAATCCTTACACCCTGCTCAGCCTTCTCAATCCGGAGAACACCTGGTACTCTGTCCTGGACCTGAAGGACGCCTTCTTCACCCTGCCTCTTGCTCCAGTGAGTCAATCCCTTTTTGCCTTCGAGTGGACTGACCCAGATACAGGGGTAAAGGAACAGCTGACCTGGACACTTTTACCTCAGGGCTACAAGAACTCCCCCACTCTTTTTGGTGAGACATTAGCAAGAGATCTCTTAGGATTTAGAGAAGAACACCCCAAGATAGTGCTCCTTCAATATGTAGATGATTTGATAGCATCAACATCTCTAGAAACATGTCAAGAGGCAACTGAGGAACTGTTAAAGACTTTAGGATGATTAGGCTATAAAGTCTCAGCTAAAAAGGCTCAACTGTGTTGTCAGGCCATGACTTACCTGGGCTATAAATTACAAGAAGGAAAGAGGACTTTATCAAAGAGGCCATATTACAGATTCCATCCCCAGAAACTAAGAAACAGGTGCGGGAGTTTCTGGGAGCTGTCAGATACTGTAGACTGTGGATTCTAAATTTTACTGAAATCGCTCACCCATTGTATGACTCTCTGAAGGAGAGACTCAAAAATTGCTCAATTGGACAGATGAGTGCGAGCAAGCTTTCCAACAGCTCAGGCAAGCACTGACTGAGGCTCCAGCCCTGGGGCTCCCTGATGTTACTAAACCCTTCACCTTGTTCATAGATGAACTCAGAGGCATAGCAAAAGGAGTTCTAACTCAAGATATTGTCCCCTGGAAGAGACCTATAGCCTATCTTTCTAAAAGACTCGATCCAGTGGCAGGAGGGTGGCCTCCGTGCCTAAGAATTTTGGCCGCTGTGGCAATGCTACTCAAAGAGGCTAAGAAACTCACCTTTGGACAAAAGATTTCTGTGGTAACCTCCCACAGCCTAGAGACTCTTATTAAAACCCCTCCAGAAAAATGGCTTTTGAATGCCAGAATTCTACACTATCAGGCCCTGCTTCTAGACCCAGAATCAGTAGTTTTCAAGACTTCCTCAGCTCTAAACCCAGCCACCCTCATGCCTGATGATGACCTAGAAAGTCAACAGATGCCTCGCCATGAGTGTGCTGACATTCTCGAGTTGCAACAGAACTTGTGGGCTGATCTAACCAACCAGCCTTTTAAAGAAGCTGACAACTCTTTCACCGATGGAAGCAGCTTCATCCAGGATGGGAAGCGAGTGGCTGGGGCAGCAGTGACCACCGAGAAAGAGGTACTCTGGGTTAAGTGGTTAGAGCCCGGCACTTCTGCCCAAAAGGCAGAGCTCATCTCTCTGACAGAGGCATTAAAGCTAGCCACGGGAAAGAGGGTAAACATCTACACAGATAGCAGATATGCTTTTGCTACTGTACATGTACATGGGGTCATCTACCATGAACGAGGTCTCTTGACCTCGGCCGGGACTAAGATTAAAAATGCCCCACAGATCCTAGACTTGCTAGCAGCTGTCTGGCTACCTCAGCAGGTTGCTATTATTCATTGCAAAGCACACCAAACAGGAGATGACCCCGTCATCATAGGAAACAATTTGGCAGATCAGGCTGCCCAGAAAATAGCAACCACATCAGAGGGGCCTGTAGAGGAAATAACTGCCTTGATGTTAATCCCTCCAGCCTTGTCAGAGCCAGTCTATGCGAAGACAGATTTACAGCTAGCATCTCACCTTGGAGCCAAGCCCCACACTCCAGGAGGCTGGTACCAGCTGCCCGACAAGCGAGTGCTGTTACCTGAAGCACTAGGATGAGAACTTTTGCACCAAGTTCATCAGGCCACTCATTTAGGAGGAACTAAACTAGAAGAATTGTTCAGGAATCAGTTTTTCATTCCAAAGCTCTCCAAACTAACTGC